CCTCCCACACGCCCTCTGCCTCGCGGTGCTCAGCTCGGTCCCTGCGCCTCCGGGTCCCTTCGGGGACGTCCCCGCCAGCTCCCCTGAGGCTGGGAGACGGGAGGGGAGGGGGTTCTCACCACCTCCAGTGTCAAATCCCCTGGCGACTGAGGACGTGGTGGCATTTCCCTCCGGAAGGCGGGCGCGCTAGGCTCACACTCACCCGCTGCCGGCACGCAGAACTCAGAACTGTCGGCACGCGGCGCTCGTGGATCCTGGGGGCAAGGGAGACCCGAAGGGACACCGGCGAGGCAGAAACCTTCTTAAGGCGCCTGCGCAATGGCGGGCGCTCCAGCCGCGGTTGTCAACAGCCCGAACCTCCCCGAGAACCGCTTGGCTGGGGCCGCTACGGATTGTGCGCAGCCGCCCGGCGCGCGACAGCGGAACCTGCTGCCAACCAGCTGGAACCCGGCGGGCGGCGGGGGCTGAGACGTTTCCTCTGATTGGTTCCCGGAGCCGCGTTAAATGTAACTTCCTTTGCGATTGGTTAGATTCAGGTACCACCTGGAGACTTCTGCTTCGGAGGGTTAGCATTGGACCTCGAAGAGGTTCTTTTCTATCTTCCACCACGCCCCTTTCATATCATCCTAGGGCGGGGTGCCCTTCAGGGGAGCTGAAACCCAATGAGTCCCGGAAAGGCCTCTGGCTGTTGCTTCGCCCCCAGTTAATACGCACCTGTTGGCTTCGGTGTCCGCAGGAAAAACGACTTTGGCTGCACCAGAGCCCAGCCCATGTCTGGAGCAGCTTCAGCCACTTCTAATGAATTGGAATAAATACCATGTGATTCTACCCAAAGCACCTGTTTTACTGGAAAAGTGAGCACCTTTACAAGGGACGTTGAGTACTAGGCAGTTTACAAATTAGGTTACAAGAAACACAGAAACACAATCCTTGTGGTAGGGAGCCAGCTGAGAAATGGGCACCTCTTTCGACAGATACATAGGAGACTGTCCTCCTGCCTTTAGTTGGAAGCTTTGTCAAGCGGAAGACTGCAACTTTAAACTTACTACTGGAAAGAATACCAAAAAGAAGTAGATTTATTTGTTAACACTTGGGTCACCCTGGTATACTTAGTAAAGAGTGGATAGTATCTCTTCTCTCTTTGTATTTGCGGTGCCAAATACAGAACCTGGAACAGAAAAGGTACCTACTAAATGTTCATTGAATTTAATGGAGCTTTTGATTCATTTGGTTCTTGCCTTCCCTCACTTTAAAATACAAGCTCCAAGGGGCGCCTGGGTGGCTCAGTGGGTTAAGTGTCTGACTTCTGCCCAGGTCATGATCTCACCTTCTGTGGGTTGGAGCCCTGCCTCGGGCTCTGTGCTGACAGCTCAGAGCCTGGAACCTGCTTCAGATTCTGTGTCTCCTTCTCTCTCTGCCCCTCCCATGCTTGTGCTCTGTCTGTGTCTCTCAATAATAAATAAACTTTAAAAAAATAAACAAAGCTCCAAGAGGGTATTTTCTTTCATATTCAATACTGTAGCTCCAGTGGGTACTTTAAAATATGCAATTACATGAATTAAGAATGTGAATCATATGTTAATTATTTTCAGGCATTGAGGATTTCCTGGGTGTGAACCCAGCACCTGGATTAGTAACCTACAATAGTGGACCTTAGAAACCAAGGTCTACGTTTTGCACCATGGGTCTGAACTTTAGAGTATAGCCATTACCAAACCCCCAGGGTCTGCAAGCAGCTTCAGAGA